CTGCTGTGTGTCAGTAGCCATCTAAGCACGGTGGAGCCACGGTAAACAGGACAGACAAGATCTCAGCTCTTATGAAGCTCCCTCTAGTGGAAGAGTTAAATGAAAAGCCAAAGGTAGAAGAATATATGTGATGTGAAGATGTGAAAGCAGGGTGAAGTGATGGAGTTGACTGCTGGGGTCGGGGCAAGGAAGGACATTTCATCCAGAGTCTGCCTTGAGGAAAGATGAGCTTTCTTTTGTTTTCTTGTGAAAACTTTTTAAACAAAAAGGTGCTGAAAACAATTTTCATTCAAGAGGAGATACAACCATATTCTCCAAGTAAAATAGTTTTAGCAGTTATGGCAGATAGTAACATTTTGGAATTTTGTTTCTGCCAAGTACCTGCTGAGAAAAACATTAAGTTGTCCCATTCTTGGTATTATTTCTTAACTGATATTAGTTGTTTTTGTTTTTGTTTTTTTTAAATTAACTGGCAGAGTGTGATATTATCTGAAGGAGTCTGTAATAACTTAAAATACAGGTCAATGTTTACAAATTTTCCTTTCTTGAGTAGCTTTTCTTATTTCCCAGGCATTTTTCAAGAAAAGATGTGTTTGTCATGGGTGTGTGTCGGGAATGAAATTTTTCTTTCAGACCAGATAAGACTGAGTCCATTAACAGTTTGGGGTCAAAACTTGTGGCTCCCTTGTACCATCTGTAGTTTGGTTGTGGCTATTTTTTGGCATTGTGAGTTTTATTTTTGTTTTCTGGCATTTGGGGCTATTTTGTAATGTTCATGCAGCAATTTCAAGGCAGTTTAGGCCAGTTGTTGTGGCTCGTGCCTGTAATCCCACTTTGGGAGGCTGAGGCAAGAGGATCGCTTAAGACCAGTAGTTTTTTTGTATTGTTTTTTCTTTTCTCTTTGTTTTCTCTTTTTCCTTCCTTCCTTCCTTCTCTCTTTTTTTCCTTTTACCCTTCCTTTTCCTTCCCTCTTTCTTTCCCTTCCCTCTTTCTTTCCCTTCCCTTCCCTCTTTCTTTCCTGTCTTTCTCTTCCTTTCCTTTCCTTTCTTTCCTGTTCTTTCTTTTCCCTCTTTCTTTCCTGTCTGTCCTTCTCTTTCTTTCTTTCTCTCTTTCTTTTCTTTCTTTTTTTTCCTGTTCTTTCTTTCTCCTCTTTCTTTCCTGTCTGTCCTTCTCTCTCCTTCCTTCCTTCCTTCCTTCCTTCCTTCCTTCCTTCCTTCCTTCCTTCCTTTCTTTCTTTCTTTCTTTCTTTCTTTCTTTCTTTCTTTCTCTTCCTTTCTTTCTCTTTCTTGTCTCTCCCTTTCCTTTTCTTTTCTTTCCTTTCCTTTCCTTCTTGTTCTTCTCTCTTTTGTTTTCTTTTCTTTCTTTTCTTTTCTTTCTGGCAAGTTTATTTTAAAAAGTAGGTCAGACACAGTAGCTCATGCCTGTAATCCCAGCACTTTGGGAGGCAAAGGTAGACAGATCATGAGGTCAAGAGATCAAGACATCCTGGCCAACATGGTGAAACCCCATCTCTGCTAAAAATACAAAAATTAGCCAGGTGTGGTGGTGGGTGCCTGTAGTCCCAGCTACTCAGGAGGCTGAGGCAGGAGAGTCACTTGAACCCGGGAGGTGGAGGTTGCAGTGAGCTGAGAACGCGTCACTGCACTCCAGCCTGGGGACAGAGCTAGACTCCATCTCAAAGCAAAACCAAAAACAAACAAAAAAATAAAGGAATAAGGAATGGCTACTCCATAGGCAGAGCAAGCCCCAAGGGCTTCTGGTTGCCCATTTTTATGGTTATTTCTTGATTTTATGCTAAACAAGGGATGGATTATTCATGAGTTTTCCAGGAATGGGGTGGACAATTCCCAGAACTGAGGGTTCCTCCCCTTTTTAGACCACATAGGGTAACTTCCTGACATTGCCATGGCATTTGTAAACTGTCATGGCGCTGAGACCAGCAGTTTGAGACCAGTCTGGGCAACATGATGAGACCCTGTCTTCTACAAAAAATAAAAAGGCAGTTTAACTGTTGTAGTATGTGTGGTGGTGATGCAAGCAACACCACCTCTTGGCTTTCACATTGGGCCTTCTTTACATTGCAGCAGCTCTGGCTCTTTGATACTTCTTGTGACCCTCACAACCTACCCAGTAAATATACAGTGGTGTTTTTAGGTTTGGAGCATCCTTTCCTACCTTTAAATACATTAATGCTAGCCATTTTTAATAACCATTCCTACTGTAATAGTAAAATATTTTCTACATAGATAAAGAGAAAAAATGGACACACTTATACCTTGACCTCTCAGCATCAAGTGATCCTCCCACCTTTGCCTCCCAAGTAGCTGGGACTGTAGGCCCATACCACCATGCCTAGGTTATTTATTTATTTATTCATTATTATTATTTTTTGAGATGGAGTCTGACTCTGTCGCCCAGGTTGGAGTTAAGTGGCGTAGTCTTAGCTCACTGCAAACTCCGACTCCCAGATTCAGGTGATTCTCATGCCTTAGCCTCCCTAGTAGCTGGGACTGCAGGTGTGTGCCACCACACCTAACTAATTTTTTTTTTTTTTTTGTATTTTTAGTTGTATTTTTAGTTGAGTTGGGGTTTCGCCATGACCAGGCTGATCTCGAACTCCTGATCTCAGGCAATCTGCCCACCTCGGCCTCCCAAAGTGCTAGAATTACAGATGTGAGCCACCATGCTCGGCCTATTTTATATATTTTGTATAGACAGGGGAGCCTCACTATGTTGCCGAGGCTGGTCTCGAACTCCTGGGCTCAAGTGATCCTCCCACCTCAGCCTCCCAAAGCACTGTGGTTACAGGTATGAGCTGCTGCACCTGGCCACTTTTATCTTCTTTTAGGTTTTGATCCAATGGCTTCTAAATAAATGAGTTATCAGAAGTTAGCAGTAGTTGCTTTTCAGTGTTTGATTTGAGAAGGAGCAAAGTGTACTTGAATGGACTCTCATTTAATAGACTGAATTATTGTATCCTGTAGGAAAAAACCTGAGGACACTACAAAGGAATTGTGTTGTTTTTAAAGAGGGAAACACCTTTTCTGGTTTCCAAATATTTAATTAAAATAAGCGCTTTTGAAAAACATAGATGCAGTATAAAAAGAGAGACAGTGAACCTGCTCCTCAGTTCTACCCCTTCAAAGAATAACTCCTTTTAATGCTTTTGAGAACATCCTTCCAGACTTTTCCGTGCATATTTATATTTTATAGAAATCTGTTCATCTTCTGTATAATGTTCTTAATTTTTTCACTCAACAATATATTATAGACATCTTTCTATTATTTGTGTGTGTTAGTACATGCAAATTTATGTCTTCTTCTCTTGGCTGCTAAATAGTATTCAGTCATCTGAATAAAGCATAATTTATTTCACCAGGCCCTTCCTAATGGACATTTAATCTCCGTTCCCAGCTTGCTATGATAATATAACTTGCTAGTGAGATTTCTTGTACATGCGTCCTGATGTACTTTATGTTATTCCCTAAGGATAAGTACTTACAAGTAGACTTACTGGATATTACATTACACTTTTAAAAATATTGCCTTTAAAAAAATAAATAAAAGAATGTATATAAAAATGGAATAAACTCTCTATATAAATTAATAATATTGGACCAAAATGTCAATTTCCCGGTTTTGACAATGTACTGTGGTTATATATGATATTACCAGGGAAAGCTGAGTGTGGCTCTATTTTTGCCACTTCTTGTGAATCTTTAAGGATTTCAAAATAAAGCATTATTTGTAAATACAAATATTTAATATATAGCCAATACAGGATGGTTCTATCAATTTATACTTCTTCTAAGAATATATGAAGCTCTTGGCCAGTGGACCGCCAGAGCTGAAGTCGTTAGCAACAGACTAATGACTGTGACTGTCACAAAAACACCCTATGTGGTCAGGATGGTGGTTATGTACAGGGCTTAAGCAAATAAGTAAATATAAAGAGGAAAATGGGAGTGAGAGAAAGAAGGTATACATAAAGAAAGGAGAAAAGCTAGATAGAACAAAATGTGTTATTGAATTGTAATTGGAGGTATCCCTGTGAGTTTATGGTCTCTAATATATACAGATACAGAAATAGATGTTTGATTTTGACGTAAAGAGGTGAGCATCTGTTTGTATATTCACGGCAGTTTCTTCAAGGTTGCGTGTGCATTTTTCTTTGTTTCTCTGTTGAGGCTACCTTTTACTGATTTGGAAAAAGTCTTAATAGTATAGATTCTAACTGATCATGTGGCACTTTATGCTAAACACTTTTTTTTTTTTAATTTTTTTTTTGAGATGGAGTCTTGCTCTGTTGCCTAGGCTAGAGTACATTGGCGTGATGTTGGCTCACTGCCACCTCCGCCTCCTGTGTTCAAGTGATTGTCCTGCCTCAGCCTCCCAAGTAGCTGGGATTACAGGTGTGCATCACCAGGCCTGGCTAGTTTTTGTATTTTTAGTAGAGATGGGGTTCCACCATGTTGGCCAGGCTGGTCTCAAACTCCTGACCTCAAGTGATCTGCCTGCCTCAGCCTTCTGAAGTGTTGCGATTACAGGTGTGAGCCACTGTACTCGGCCTGCTAAACATCTTATGAAATTAATTTGTTGATCTTTTTCTTTATGATTCTGGCATTGGTCATGCTGTATTCCATTTTACTTGCTTACAATTTTGTGACCTAGGAATTTTGGCAGGGCCCGCTGGACAGTTCTTTGCTCCTTAGTGTCTTGGATCACTCGGTCAGCTGCATTTAGCTGCAACTGGGCTGGGCCAGAAGACCCACAAAGACCTTATGCCCAGGTCTCTGTAGGCCTTGATGCTCCTCCAGGTATCTCCTCTCTCTCTCCACATGGTTAGCTGAGCTTACCACTGGGAGGAGGGAGAAGTATGGTGGGAGGGAGGCATTAAAGTAGGTGGTATGTCAAATCTTAGCCCACTGACAGGAGGAGATTTGAGCTGCCACTTAGCTCCCTGATTGTCTTCCTTTTTCTCATCTGTTTTGCCTTCTCAGGATTCTTTCCTTCCTCAAGAGATTATCATCAAAGTTGAGGGAGAAGACACTGGGTCACTGACCATCCCATCTCAGGTAGGTTGGGCAAGGCCTTTGTCTTTACACTGAGACACGTGCATGGCTGGGAAGTGAGTAGAAAGTGAGGAAATGGAGATAAGAGTGGACAACTTTTTCAAGAAGTTTGGTTATTGTGTGAAAGGTAGAAGAAAGTGAAAACTTCAAGGACTTTTGAGATTGAGGGTTTTTTCTTCTTAAAGGGATTGAAAAGATTGAATTCAGTTTAAATGATTACAGGAAGGAGTTAGTAGAGGAAAAAAAGTTATTGATCAGGAGACAAGAGAGAAACTATAAAGCAGAGTCCTTGGTTAGCACCGCAGAAATTAATTCAGAACATCTTGAATAAATTAGCTGTATATGAGGAGAAGGATTTATATAGGAACAGTGAGGTTGAAGGAATTATTTGAAAACTTGATCTTTCACTGTGAAAAATCAGATGAGCATGATAGTGGGAACTGGAATGGAGAGATGTATGACAAGGTAGAGAAGGCTTAAAATAGCAATTTTGGATTATGAGAGGAAACAGGCTGCTCCAGTAAACGTAATAGGATTGCTGGTCAATCTGAAAGATTCATTCAGAGATATTGGCTATTAATTTATAATACTCTATCCTGCTGCTTTTGTGGATTTTTTCCCTGCAGTGGCAATTTGTAGCCCACTTTCCACAGACAGCAGATTGACATTCAAATTAATTTAGTTTTTGTGATTTGCCAGGTCCACTTCCTGTGGAGTGGACACTCCAAAGGTCAAGGGAATATTTGAAAGAGAATTTAAAAATATCTCAAGTAGAAAGATTAAAAAGAATGATCCATGGACCTTAAATTGAGTAATTAATATGGAAGTGATAAAGAGTCCACTAAGTAGAAATGAGAAGAATATAGGCTGGTAGTGGTAATAGTAGACATTTCAGTAGCATAATGGCCCTAAACCATCAAGGAACAAGAGTAAAGGGAGACAATTGAGCAAATACAGTGGAGCAATCTGACATTGTAGTGAAACATGGGCAGTTTTGTATTTGTGACTCAAAAGGTGGAGTGTTTTATGATAATTTCAAGGTCTAGGGTGTCCCCCTAAGAGTGAGCTGATGAAGAGCAGCTTCAAGATATGAGACTTGGGTTAGCCATATGAATTGATGACTGAGAACACGGTCTCTGATGTGTGCAAGCTTGAGGTTACATCCCAACTACTAACCTTAGGCGTATGTCTTAATTTCTCTGACTCCCTTGGTCTTCATAAGAAAAAAGTAGTACTGCTAATAGTGTTTTCTCACAGGAGCCCTATGAGAATTAAATGAATGATAATCCATGTGACATGTTAGCACAATGCCTGACACTGTGGTGGTGCTTCATACAAACTCATTAAAGTCAGTTATTTTTATATTCTCATCAGCTAAATGTACAAGTAGATGCTATAGACAATGTGAGACAGGACAGTACAAGTTCTTATAGTAGAGGGTAAATCCCAAGTATGAATCTTCAGTGAATGGGGGTGGGGGTGGTGTTCAGGAGGTGGGTAGGACAGAGCTCCAAGAAGTGAGGTAAATGGCTTGAGTTTCAGAGTAACTGGGAGGGCATGCACTCCTTCTTTGATGCTGAAATCCCTAGGATCGGAGAGTATGAGCATTCTTAGCCTGAGGACTGAGGAGGAGGGAAGTTGTCAGCGGGAAGTGTAAGTCTCCATTAACACAGGGATGTATAGGGAATGTTTGGTGAAGGATATTGAAACTGCAGGCTGGAGTGCAGTGGTGTGATCATGGCTCACTGCAGCCTTGACTTCCCAGGCTCAGGTGATTCCCCAAACCTCAGCCTGCTGAGTAGCTGGGACTATAGGCACGCACCAGCATACCAAGCTAAGTTTTTGTGTTTTTAGTAGAGACTGGGTTTCACCACGTTGCCCACGCTGGTCTTGAATTCCTGGGCTGAAATGATCCACCCACCTTGGTCTCCCAAAGTGCTGAGATTATGGGCATGAGCCACCACACCTGGCCTATTTTATTGTTACAAAAGATGAGTTTCGAGGGCACGGTTGAAGGTTTTAGGAAGGAGTTTTCAGGCATAGGGAGTTTGGGACAAGTGAAAAGAATAAAGTAAGTGGGATAGAAGTCCAGAAAAGCTAGTATCTGCACATTGAGGAGCCTTTTCAAATGGGTATGTGGTACAGCTTGTGAGATTCAGGTGAGGGGAGATGAGTTAAATCAATCTGGGTGAGGGTTATTTTAATATATTAGAAGGTTTATTGATACTGTTGATTCACTTACTGAAATAATTTACTAAATATAAATGTAATATCTACTATATATAAATACTACGTTAAGCATTGGAGTTACATTTGCAAACTGTAAATACCTTGTCTCTGCCTTCATGCATCATGGCCTAGTGACAGAGATGACTATTATGCAAATAGGAAAGTGTGATGATAGAAGTCCATGGAGCTTTGAGAGTATATAGTTGGGAGTGGAGTGGGGGTGCTAATCTAGTTTAGTATTATCTGTTTGACATTTGAACAAGCTTTATACTAAAGAGACCTATATTAAACAGAAGGGGGGAGTGTTTATTAAAAAGAAGCATGCATTACAGATTGAAAGACAACACCTTAAAGATTAATGTTAAATACAGGTGGCAGTTGGCAAGTTATTTTTTGAATTTCACGTTGGGCTAATCATGAAAACATTTGAGGTTTCAGTGAAATTTTTAGGCTCAAACTTAGAAAGAGGCATATACAGCAGTATTTTGCGTGTGTTTTCATGGCATTCAGGACCCTGTATCCTATTCATGAACTGCAGCTCAAGAATGCCTGGTCTATTTAAAGAGCCTTTAGTGGCAAGAGGCATTCAACTTCCCCTTGCCTTTGCTGCTCCTGGATAAGGACAGATAACCCTTAGCACTTCTTTTTTGGATTAAAATTCCTGCCCAGTTATCTTAAGAACAGGCCCTTTCCTGCTTAGAGGAGGCAGCCCAAGAGACCCCATTTATATGGCAGTAATAACAGCGAATGTCTCCTAAAAGGCTCTGCCATGCAGCTGGATATGGATAGAAACAGAACTGTTATTTGAAGGCTGAGCGTTCAGAATAAAGGTCACTTTGACTCTCAGTCAATCTTTCAGGATCCTGAGACCTACTCGTTGTAACAGTAGAGGCTAAGCACCCCAATCCAAAAATCTGAAACTGTCCAAAATTTGAAGGTTTTGGAGCCCCGACATGATGCCACAAGTGGAAAATTCTACACCTAATTTCATGTGACCAGTCACCGTCAAAACTTTGTTTCATACACAAAATTTTTAAAAACTTGCATACAATTACCTTTAGGCTATATGTTTAAGGTGTATATGAAACATAAATGAATTTGTGTTTAGACTTGGATCCCATCTTCAAGACATCTCATCATGTAAATGCAAATATTTCAAACTCTGAAATCCAAAATGCTTCCAAAATGCTTCTAGTTGTAATTATTTTGGCTAAGGGATACTCATCCTGTAATTGCTGGCCTTTGTTGTTTCATCAGTAAACCCTGCTAGTGGCTTTTCATAGATCATTGTAATTATTCATTCAACCCAATGAGTTAGGTATTATTAGGCCTAATATATAGAAAGGGAATAAACTCACCACTAAAAGACAGATTGGGTCAGGTGTGGTGGCTCATCCCTGATTCCTGTAATTCCAGCACTGTAGGAGTCTGAGATGGGAGGATTCCTTGAACACAGGAGTCTGAGACCAGCCTAAGCAATATAATGAGGGTCTGTCTCTACAAAAAATTTAAAAATTAGCCAGGCATGGTGGTACACACCTGTAGTCCCACCTACTTAGGAGACTAGGTGGGAGGATCACTTGAACCCAGAAGATGGAGGCTGCAGTGGGCCATGATTATGCCACTGTACTCCATCCTGGGCAACAGAGTGAGGCTCTGTCTCAAAAGAAAAAAAAAAGACAAATTGTTAGATATATTTTTTAAGCCAGATATATGCCCTTTATAGGTAAGAAAGCCAAGTCTTTTTATCTTCTACATCCAGTGTTCTTCACCTATACATACTGCTTTTCATCAAGGTCCACATTTCATTTTCCGTCTCATGCATTAGCAAAGTACAGCCTGTGGCTGTTTTTGTAAATACAGATCTATTGTAATGTAGCCACAGCCATTTGTTTATATATTTTCTGTGGCTAGTTTCTTTCTATAGCAGCAGAATTGAGTAGTGTGACAGAGACTGTGTGACTGGCAAAGTGTAATATTTACTATCTGGCCTTTGACAGAAAAAAAATTAACCACCCTTGTTTCATTAGTTTCTTGGGAATTTCGAGGGAATTCCTAAGTGGGAATTCTATATTCACCGTGCAAAAGTCAGAATAAGCATCTTTTTATAAGGCAGACAAGATAAAATAGTTTATATCAGTTCTTATCTGGTGATCCTCTTTGGAGTTGTAAAAACAGGTCCAGCATCCAAAACCCAAAGAGCTCACCCAGAAGGCACCTGTACATCTTGACTGGAATCTTTTGGGCACTGACAATCTCAGGACAACTCCCAGGTCACCAGATTTTCCTTTTTCCGTCTGTCAGACTTTTCTTCCACCATAAACTTTGGAAGGAAATGATGCCCAGCTGAGCGGGAATTTGTGTCCTTTTTTAGGAAGGAGTGAACTTCAAAATTGTGACTGTGGACTTCACACAGGAGGAACAGGGTACTTGGAACCCTGCTCAGAGGACCCTGGACAGAGATGTGATCCTGGAGAACCACAGGGACCTAGTCTCTTGGGGTAAGAATACATTCCTTTTTAGTGAAGATCCATATACTGAAATGATTTCACATTCTGATTGATTAAGAGCTGTGAAATTCAGCAGCCAGAATGATTTTGGCTGCATGTAGATTGTGTTTGTGCTTTTTATTCCCCAGTGAAGATTAATTTTAGTTTGTAGGGTAGAAACAGTGCAGATTCTTGGGCTTGAGATTTTCAGTCTTCATGTTCCTAAAGACCAAAGGCTGGGATCAGATTCTGCAGTAATTTTCTTTTGTTCCCAGTTTGAACTCTCAAATTCCTATATATTTCCTTATCAGCTTTTTGAACCAGATACAATCTCCTAGTTGGAGCAAGGGACAGAATATAAAAGGAATTTTCCAATACATGTGTTCAAGTGAGAACCAGACACATAGGGGTCATTACAGGTGTAGAAGATTCATTTGAAAAAATTGCCATAGAAGATGCCACATTTTTCTTCATTTCCTACCTCCTGGTGGACTGTATATATGACCACTTTCTCCATATATACTTTCTATTGCTTGACTTAGTAGCCACCCAGGCTACTAGGAGCAAACTTCTAGTCTCTTTCAGTTGGAATCACAGAAATTCGTGGGGCTATATTAGCTCCCAGGGTATTTAGGGAACTGGATAGTAATGCCCCATTCCTTTTCTTTTGTTCACAAATGTAGTGTCCTCATGTCTCACTGACACAGAGTAGAGTATTTAGCAAGTTTTATGCCTTCAGAATTTCCTAGATATGTAGACACTAATCTCTTAGTGAACACCTATGTAGCACTAAAGAAGTGGAAAAGACTCTATTCTTTACATATTGCACAATTGGGTTGCAATTCTGTAGGTTCTACGTAGATGATCTTATTTTGGAATATGCAGGTATTTGACATCCAGAGTCTTATTTATTCGGACTAAGATTAAATCAAGATTACAATGTTCCATTTTAATGCTCTATTGTAATATTGGGCTGTAGTAGTTCTGTACTTAATGCTTTATCTCACTCTTTTGCTTTTTCAACCTAGGTTATTGGTCAGTATTTGAAAACAAATCCATATATATTTTTCATACTTTCTTGTTAGCTTTATTCCATTTTTCGAGCTCTGATATTTTTTGGCTAAGATATTTTATATTGCTTTCTTTCAGACTTGGCAACTGCAGTTGGAAAAAAAGATCCAACTTCAAAGCAGAGCATTTTTGATGAAGAACCAGCTAATGGAGTGAAGATAGAAAGGCTTACAAGGGATGATCCTTGGTTATCTTCATGTGAAGAAGTTGGTGATTATAAAGACCAGTTGGAGAAGCAACAGGAAAAACAAGGGATACTTTTGCAGGGAGTGGCATTCACTCAAAGGAAAGCGGTTATTCATGAGAGAGTCTGCAAAAGTGATGAACCTGGGGAGAAGAGTGGTCTGAATTCCAGTCTATTTTCATCCCCAGTTATATCCATAAGAAACCATTTTCATAAACATGTATCACATGCTAAAAAATGGCATCTTAATTCTGCTATAAACAGTCATCAGAAGATTAATGAGAATGAGACTCTATATGAAAATAATGAATGTGGAAAACCCCCTCAGAGCATTCACCTTATTCAGTTTACAAGAACTCAAACAAAAGACAAATCCTATGGATTTAGTGACAGTATTCAATCTTTTTGCCATGGTACACCCCTACATATACATGAAAAAATTCATGGAGGAGGAAAAACCTTTGATTTTAAAGAATGTGGGCAAGTTTTGAACCCCAGCATATCCCATAATGAACAACAGAGAATTCCTTTTGAAGAGAGTCAATATAAGTGTAGTAAAACCTCTCAGAGTTCCTCCGTTACTCAAAACATGAGAAATAATTCTGAAGAGAAACCTTTTGAATGCAATCAGTGTGGGAAATCCTTCAGCTGGAGCTCTCATCTTGTTGCACATCAGAGAACTCATACAGGGGAGAAACCTTATGAATGTAGTGAATGTGGAAAATCCTTCAGCCGGAGTTCACACCTTGTTTCCCATCAGAGAACTCATACTGGAGAGAAGCCTTACAGGTGTAATCAATGTGGGAAATCCTTTAGCCAGAGTTATGTCCTTGTTGTGCATCAAAGAACTCATACTGGAGAGAAGCCTTATGAATGCAATCAATGTGGAAAGTCATTCAGGCAGAGCTATAAACTTATTGCACATCAAAGAACACATACTGGAGAGAAGCCCTATGAATGTAATCAGTGTGGGAAATCATTTATCCAGAGCTATAAACTTATTGCACATCAAAGAATTCATACTGGAGAAAAACCCTATGAATGCAATCAGTGTGGGAAATCCTTCAGTCAAAGTTATAAACTTGTTGCTCATCAGAGAACTCACACAGGAGAAAAACCCTTTGAATGTAATCAGTGTGGGAAATCCTTCAGCTGGAGCTCTCAGCTTGTTGCACATCAAAGAACTCACACTGGAGAGAAACCGTATGAATGTAGTGAATGTGGAAAATCTTTTAACCGCAGTTCTCACCTTGTTATGCATCAGAGAATTCACACTGGGGAAAAACCATATGAATGTAATCAGTGTGGGAAATCCTTCAGCCAGAGTTATGTTCTTGTTGTACATCAGAGAACTCATACTGGAGAAAAGCCCTATGAATGCAGTCAATGTGGGAAGTCCTTCAGACAGAGTTCATGCCTTACTCAACATCAGAGAACTCATACTGGAGAGAAACCGTTTGAATGTAATCAGTGTGGAAAAACATTTAGCTTGAGTGCTCGACTTATTGTGCATCAAAGAACCCACACTGGAGAGAAACCCTTTACATGTATTCAGTGTGGAAAAGCTTTCATTAATAGCTATAAACTTATCAGGCATCAGGCAACTCATACTGAAGAGAAACTCTATGAATGTAACTAGTTTCTAAGTCAGCTGGGATTTATTCCCTTTTATTCTTTTAAAAAGTTTATTTTAAGGTAGTACATGTTGTGGGAAGAACTACTATAAAAACAATATATGTGGGAAAACTTCCAGTCCTCTGTTAATTGTGTGTCTGAAATTTGTTCTGGAAAAGAAAGAGGGAAAATCTATGAATGACTTTTCAACCTAGCAATTCCATATACAACATTAAACTTGATTCTAATGACATATTCCTATGAAAGTAATAAATATTGGCACTTTTCCTTGCAGAAAGCACTCTGACCTGAATCAGAGAAAATCATATGCCAAAGCCAGCTGCCAGTGTATTAGACTTTTTTCCATAAAGAGTAAATGGAATACTAACACTAATGGACTTACTGAGAAGATTGAAAGGTTGCTGTAGTGTTTAAACTTAGGCTGGAAAACCATATTTTAGTGCTTAATTTTACTACACGATCTTCCAATGAGATAGCTTGTAATCTGTTCCTTACAGCACTTGCTGTTACATGTGAAGATTTTGTAAATTTTAGGAGCGTGTCTACGATATGTAGTGAAAAATGTGGAAAAATAATATAGAAATAATATTCACTTCTATAACCATTATGATAAAGTATTTGTGTATGGATTAGAATAGAAAGGGATTATGGATATATCTATTCAGTTTTTTGGTTTATGTTTGACCTTTTTGGAACGTATGCTGCTGTGCTATGATAAATTATATAACGAGTAAAACTTATTCAAAAACAAAAATGAAATCCAAAGATTTCCTTCTTTGACTATTTAGGAAAGACTAAGCAACCAAATAGCAAAAGATCCCTCAGGATAATGAGGTTTATGTTTGGATTAGCATGAGCAGATTACTATTTAGGACATAGATTCCTAGGAACATTCCTCATTGAAAATAAAATAGATCCCTGGAAATAGATAACTAGAAATTTTGGCCAGAAATGGTTTCATATGAAGAATTGAGAATGTGTGGGAACTATAGAGGGCAAGTGGGCTTATTTTCATATATGCAAAGCAATATTAAGGAGCTCTATTTTCATGTTTTTGTTCTTCTCCTCATGTAGTATTGTCTCTTTCCTCTGGGATATGTTCCTTGATGTGAGAGGCCTCTGAATAGAAGGGTGCTTCCCTGACTCAGTGCTGACCATCTAAATTATGCTTGCAAGAATACTTTAATGAGGCAAGGTCTTAGTTACTCTTTGATATTTAGGATTTGATTAACATGTCTTTCTGACCTTTTCCCTGAATCATGAACTTGAATCCTGTGGATTACCATATATTGAAGCCTCTCATCCCAGAAAGGTAATAAGCTCAAAGTTGAACTGAGAGATCAGATAATAGAGGCTGAAACCCTTGGGACAGGAAGGAAAACTTAAAGGGTAACTGATGGGGTTACCCTTAGTAAAATTCTGTCCCCGGCCAGGCGCAGTGGCTCAAGCCTGTAATCCCAGCACTTTGGGAGGCCAAGACGGGCGGATCACAAGGTCAGGAGATCAAGACCATCCTGGCTAACACAGTGAAACCCTATCTCTACTAAATAATACAAAAAACTAGCCGGGCGTGGTGGCGGGCGCCTGTAGTCCCAGCTACTCAGGAGGCTTAGGCAAGAGAATGGCGTAAACCCGGGAGGCGGAGCTTGCAGTGAGCTGAGATCTGGCCACTGCACTCCAGCCTGGGCGACAGAGCGAGACTCCATCTCAAAAAAAAAAAAAAAAAATTCTGTCCCTACGAGATGACCCTAAGTAGAGCCATCTCTATGAGGATTAATCCAGAGATTGTTGCACACCTGGCAGTGCCAGGTCTGGAAAAACAGTTGCTGATGTCTGGAAAACTGCCTCCCTATCCTAGGAGAATTTCTAGTCAGTTCATGAATGTGCAGGTAGGGGAACAGCAAGTATTCATACATTGGCTCCTGGAAAGGGCACATAAAATTGTAAAAAGCCCTAATAGGCTAGGGACCTATATTGGCTTCTTTCCCATGATGTATAGATAAATTATAATTTATATATTATATATAGTTACATATAATAGAAATTATATTTTCTATTATTTATAATATAAAATACATGTTATAGATAAAACCAAATACGTATTTGAAGTGTGTGGATTCTCTTATATGGGGATTGGTTTTCAGTCAAACACTCATCAAAAATACAGTTTTTGCAGGATCCAAAACTCAAGTATATGGAGGGCCAACCTTTTTTTTTTTTTTTTTTTTTTTTTGAGACAGAGTTTCACTCTTCTTGCCCAGGCTGGAGTGCAATGGTACGATCTTGGCTTAACACAGCCTCCACCTCCGGGTTCAAGCAATTCTCCTGCCTCAGACTCCCGAGTAGCTGGGATTACAGGCATGCACCACCATGCCTGGCTAATTTTGTATTTTTAGTAGAGATGGGGTTTCTCCATGATGCTCAGGCTGGTCTCAAACTCCCAACCTCAGATGATCTGCCTGTCTTGGCCTCCCAAAGTGCTAGGATTATAGGCGTGAGCCACTGCACCCGGCCTATGGAGGGCCAACTTTTTATATACATGCTTACACAGGGCCAACTGTGGGACTTGAGTATGCATGGATTTAGGTGTACAGGGGGTTCTGGCACCAATTCCCCAAATATACTGAGGGATAACTGGATGGTGATTTATGGTGGCCAAGTCAGTTTCAATAATTAAAAATGTCAGAGTAATTTCTATCATTTGCTTAATAATTTTCCTTTGCAGAAAAGATATTGTAATTAAAAAGTGGTGAATGAAAAATAAAGCATCCACAGGCCAAAAATTTGTAATTAAACTCTTGGGCCTAAAGTTTAGGGTTAAAAAGGATCAATAACTAGATTTTAGTTACATATGACACGTGAATATATACATAACATTTTATGAATAAACATTTTTTGCTGTATAAAATTCACAAAAATCAAACTATACCATAGAAAAATTTATAGAGATTGTATAGGCCAGATTTAACCCTACTGCAGTAAAATTGTAAATAAAAGGTGCCAAAATGTTTTCAATACCTGCATGGTAAGAAATGCTTTCCTTAAACCAGTTTTTTAAAAGAGTAAATCAAAACTGAACTTTAACACCACCTTGGAAGTACTACATCAGAACACTTAATGCCCAAACCTGTGGGATACAGAAAAAGCAGTTCTCAGAATAAAATAGAAAGGTGATAGCTTTAAATGACTTCTTTATCAAAGAAGAAAGGCAAATAAACGTAAGGACCCATGGTGATATTATGGAAACAATAACATAAATGAACACGAATAGAAATAGCAACAAAAACTAACAAATGGAAATATATAAAAGCTTAACATAATACAAAGCAAAATAGAGTCAAGGGTTGTATTCTTCTAGGGGGTTTCTATTTAACATTGTTTATTTTTTTTTCCTGTCTTCCTTGTGTGCTCACTTCTGTGCCTGCCTGAAAGTGTCCTCAGTGGTCATGGACTCTTGAATGGTAACTTGGCTCAGGAAGACAATTTTAGCTAACAATGATTTTCCTACATCATTTTGAAAATAGAGTTTCTTCTGGCATTTAATGCCAAAGAGAATCTTTTTGGATAATCCATTATTTCTTTACAGAGTAATCCAAGCTATGGATTTTTTTCTACTCAGAGTAGAAAACATACTCTTTCTTTCAGGTGTGTTTTTAATAGGAACTTGGTATAATTTCTAGGTTATGCAGATTTCTCAGCAGTGACCTCTTCAGTCTTCTATTGCTTTTCTTTGCATTCTCTTTGAAACTCTGTTTGACAAGTGTTGTAGCCCCACATTCTACCTTTCATAATGCTTAATTGCTTTTGTCTTTGTTTCAGTTGTCTAGGAGGAAGTCTTCAGAATTACTACTGCTTCCTATCTTTTCTGTTTATTTTTAAATAATATTTGTCATTGTCAGTATTTTTAATTGGTGCTTTTGCACATCCATCCACCCTAGGCAGCTTTCCCCCAAGCCTTGGGGGACCAGCTCACAATGACTTTTAGGATTCTGATGCCCCTTGCTGCCTGTAAGTAAGAAACCCATCTCATGTAACTTGTTGCATGTGAGTGTGTTGTTTTGATGAACTCAGATCTAAGCTGGTAATCAGTGCGGTGAACCGCCTCACAGGCTTCTCAAGTGAAATTGAGTCCATGTGCAACTTTTATCAACAAATTGGAAAAATACTTATTTTTCAAGATAAAGTTCTATGGGCCTAAGGTAAGATTAACAGGATTTACCAAGTACATTAAATGAGACATACAGAATAGATGGCATTGATTATGTATAAAATCCATTAAAATTTTTAAATATAAAAGATGTCTCTAAAAACAGCTTCAAAAAGTCTAGATTTCCCCCTCCTAGCTGAAATCTCAAAAATATCAATAGAAGCATATTTAATTTTGTCAAACCTAGGCATAAAGTGAAAGATAAAATCACAAAATAAGGTGGAAACATTGCAAAATCAGTAACAACTGAGGAGGAGTGTGGGAGGAAGTAGATGTCCTCAGCAGGTACATTTCTCTGAAGTGAGGTGGACAGCCCTTAACTACTGACTGAGATCCTTCACAATTAGGAGAACAAACTACATTATCTGTCCTGGAGTCATTCTATCTCCAAGAACTAGAAAAGGCTGAGAATGACCAGGAGAAAAACATATTTGCATGAAGCAGTCACCTCCATGGCACAATAACAAGTGCTAGACTGCATAGTGAGCAGCACTGTAGCTGACTTCACTGTTGAGTAGGAAGGAGTTAATGCTAAAATACTTCTATACATCAACAGTAAGAACTATAAGAGCCTGAAGTATGGCTGTTCCAGGAAGAACTTCTTATGCAAAGTGAATACATGAAAATGAGTGAGTACAAGGCTTGTACAAAGACTTTACCAGCCCTACAGTTATTCTTGAGAACTATAAGCAAGAAAGATGGGAAAACCTGGGGCAGTCTGAGGCCACCAGGGAAAATGTCCTGCAAACGCTTGATGGCTCACATCAAGAAATAGCGTATGTTGGCCAGGTGCGGTGGCTCACACTTCCAGGCCCTCGGGTACTCACCTGTCTCCCAGCTACTCCCTGCCATCATCCCAAGCTTACTCTGACACTCAGCTCCCCAAACCCAGGAATCGCCTACAGACTCACAAATCTCAGGGCTCTCTTCCATCATGTCTCCCGTCTCTTCACCTGCAACCCCCAGGGACTCTCCTGTGTCTCCCAGCTCCTCTCCCACCGTCTCCAGATTTCTATCGGAGTCAGCCTCTCACATGCAGGAATCACTGAGAAACTCAGAGACCTCCCGTGCTCCTCCCACATGTCTCCCATGTCTTTAGTCCCATCCCCCAGAGACTCTCTGGTTTCTCCTAGCTCCTCTCCAACCAGCCCCAGATTTCTACAACATTCATGCCTTCACACCCAGGCAGCACCCAGTAATTCAGAGTCCTCACTGCACTTCTCCCCTATGTGTCCCATCTCTTCACCCCCAGCCCTCGGGGACACTCCCATGTCTCCCAGTCTCTCCAGAACTCCCCACGTTTCTCCACCAGTCAGCCGCCCACACCCAGGAAACACCTGGAAACTCAGGGTTCTCAGAGGGCTCCCTCCCCATGTCTCCCAACTCTTTACTCCAGGCCCTCAGCTACTCTCGTGTGTGTCCCAGTTACTCTCCCATCATTCCAAGATTTCTGCAACACTCAGTCCCCCACACCGGGGGGTCACTGACAAACTCAACAGATCTCAGTGCCCTCCTCAACCATGTCTGCCATTTCCTCACCTGTGGCC